GCAGACCTGTTTTTGAAAGCCACTAAGCAATGAGATCTTAAGCCTCCGAAGAAAAACATCCCACTGTTTTTTAATTGGAAAATGTTACATTAACCCCAATTTAAAGTTATTGGTTTCCTTATCAACGAATATTGACTGCATTCACTTATCACTCTAAACTAAGGATAGGAGGTGAGGGTATAGCAAACCCCACCAGTGTCCCAGAATGGCATGATGCTGAAATTTTCAGACCTGTTTTGGCCTCTTTGTGAGGTTGGGGCTGTATTAAAAGACAAAATATTTAGAGTACCCATTTAGATCCTTGACTATCACCCAACAGTCTTCCACTCTGGGAGGCACTGAGGCATGCAAAAGGGTTATTCCTCCTCTATGCAAAACAGTTGTTTAGTTCAGTAATTTTTGGCTTAATGTGACATGTGGATGCATTGTTGATTTATGGTTTATTTTGTAAGCTGCAATCCAGTTTAACATCAGTTGTCATGAAAGGCTTTGCACAATGTACATATACAGACACATTATTTTTAATTAATTTCCTTGCATGACCCATATAAACTAAGAAATAAATGGAACAGACAAACTGAAAGACAGCTAGGCTGAACTGTTCTGCTGAGAATGTCTCTGCCTCACTGTCCAAACTCCTTTAGTTTTACACTAGACTAGCTTAAATGCAGCAGAAAACGATGTAATGGGTAATCTCTTTGAGACAGTGAAGTACTTCAAAATTCATTTTACAAATCCATAACTTGGGTACTAAAACTTCCAAATAACAGCCTGCAAACAATGGTCTTTTTGTTGAGTACACTGAATGGCATCTTGCTTGTTGGCGGAGTTGCCAAAATGGCTTCCAATCGCAGTCCTTGCACAGGAAATCTTCCATTTCCTATATCTTCCTGTTAGCCAGCAGCAATGTTCATAATACATGATGGTGGCCTTCAAAGCTCACTGATTAAGCAACAGGCGCTAACTACCATGGAAACTTCTCAAGTAAGCTCCACAATAAAAAGAGTGTACAAAGCTCTAGATGTGAAGAAGAATGAGATTTTACTGAAACAATTACTTTCAGAAATACACTACAGTCTTCATTATACGGCAAGTCTGTGTAAAATGAATGCTTTAAAAATTCAAGCAAATCAGTGGATTAGACCAGAATGAAAAATATGTACTATTCACTAATAATCATTAGCTAGAAATCATCCTGTGAACTGAACAAAATCTTTGCTGGGCTTCGCAGCTGTCTGTGATATACAGTGCAGCAAAGGAGTCAGTACTGAGCCCCACTTCTTTAATCAGGCTAGACTCTTTGGTTCCACCATGCTTTTTGTGTTGATGTTTCTTTTGCCTTATGTTTTGATTTTGGACTAGGCAGTGGCGGTAATAAAGATGATTTGATATTGATCTACTTTTATGAACATTTTGTTCCAACAAAGTCAGATTCCTTAGATTTCATTCTCTTTTAAAGTGGAATTGGCAGCACTATTTCTCTTTGAAATCAAGACATACTAACAGAATGGCTAGTTATTTAGAAAAGGCACATGATTTTACTTCCTAAAAGCCAGATCACATAAATTACACAGTGGCTATCTGTTAAAGCTTAGCTTGGAATAGGGTCAAACTGAATTAGCTTTGTGCCACATAGGCATAGAAGATTTGTTCAAATTAGCACAGCAAGCCTAGAAACACTATTTCTTACTGAAAGGAAGTATACAATTTCCCAAATAAGGCATCATTAGCTAAAATATTGGTGCAAGATTTATTCAAAAGGAAGATAAGCCTTTTATCCCCTAAATAGTTATCTTTGAAATAGGAGTGGTATTGAAAGAGAGGACCTACAGTGGGGCAAAAAAGTATTTAGTCAGCCACCAATTGTGCAAGTTCTCCCACT